TCCACTGCTTCTAAATATCCCCCCTCCCCTCCTCTGCCCCCCCACTCCTCCTCCGTTCCCCCTTCTCCATCATCTCTACCCTTCCATCTTTCAATCTCTTCCTTCAAACTTTTCACATAAATCCACTTTTTCTTTTCACGTTTAGTTTTTTAGAAAACTTTATCCTTTTCTATTCTGACTTCCTATTTCTTAATTGCTGATAACTAACCTTAAACTTTTTTCAATTCTTAGTGCAGAACCACTTCCTGAGGCCAAATTTAAAGAATTTGAGCCGCGGCTTAAATATGGTTGGTTCCCCTTACAATTTTCAAGATTTAAGCCGGCGCTCAATTAAAACCGGTTTTTGTGCGATTTGAGATGCGGCTTAAATTCAGTAAATTCGGACACGGCTTTGCTTAACTTACAAATGAGAATTAATGGTTTATTTTTCTTCATCAAAAGACAAAAGTCGTAAGCCGAAAATCTAGTTTATTTTAGCATGTTCATTGTTCATCCTCCGTTGCGTTTTGTTATCTTTTAAATATCTTACTTAGAATTTAGTTTAGCTCTTTAGCAACTTGTCTCATTTCCTTAAATTTTGTCATAAACCTCAAGTTAACTTATCTTTACACAAACTCCTTCGCAGGTTTAGTTCTTTTCCAGAACTAAACCTCCATCTTTGAACTATCTTTTTTCAAAGATATTTTTAAAAGCGGCCACATTTGTCCTTAATAATTCCTATATAGCATCATTACATTCTTACGTTGTTCACTTAAAATGTAATTTTGATTGGGGAACTCGGAAGAACCATGGGAATATTCTTAGCTTGGCTTTGAGATGCTGAGTTGAGTGGGTCAACTTTTATCAGGAAAAATAGCTGAAATCATAATTTATGACCAAGCGCGGATAAACGGAGGATTAACTTTAAGTACCCTGGGCAACTCTGGGTTCTCAAGTTTGTACAATGTATAATAATAATAATGTGCCTCGACATCACACTCTTAAAAGATATAAATAAATCAGAAATTAAAAATTCTATAAAAATGTTTTTATTTAAAACCGGTTTTAGATCATTGTTTGTTTAATCCTGGGCTCTGGATACAAACACCGGCAAATGTGCAGATCAGGTAAATTATTAATATAAAATAAAATTTGCCGACTTCGCATAAATTTTAAGATGGATTTCATTCAAATTATTTTTCCTCTTAGAAATAATTTCCATCGCAATTTTTATGAGATATTGAGGGGAAAATGATTTGAGAGCTGGAAACATTGAAAAATTTCATTTTTTTTTCTCTCAACCTTGTAGTTTATGTACAGTAGTCAAATGTTTGTTGTTCAGGTTGTACAGTTACCTGTCCAGCGAATTCCTGGCCGACACACAGGTTAATTTTCAACAAATTTGAATAGATTTTTTATTTTTGTAGTTATTATTTCGCATCAATTGTCATAAACATAAATTTTTTTCTTGTTTTTTTTTATATTTTAAACTAATTCTTAATCTCTTTTTGGATGTACATTTTATTTTTGATTAATTAACATATCATTCTTTTAAACTTTTTTATGTTTTTATGTTGTCAACTTTATCTTGATTTTTTTTGGTTTCGATTCATATTTTTTAGATTGATTATTATATCATTTGTTAACATTTATTTAGGGTTACCCAAAGGATGAGATTTCAGAGACGACTGTACAGAATTTATACCGTCTGTTTCTTTTATTCATGATTCCGTGCCACTGTAAACCCGTTTCTTCCGTCGGCCTTAATTCAACCTTTAAGAGTTTTATGTCGTCTTTACAGTCTTATTCTTTGTGGGTAACCCTGTATATTCCTTAAACGTTAAATTTCTTATTTACATTTTAGATATACAGTAATGTGCGACGAGTATCTACCGTTCTTCAAACAATGCACACCTTAAAAACATACTACTGGGTCACAAGGAAACGAATTGTCAAATTACCAGTTTTCTTGCATTATATAAAGTAATTTTTTATTCAAAATTTGCCCGTGGTCTCCCACCTTCCCCCGCCCATTTCTCATAATTTTCGTTCTTTCCAAAATTAAAAATTTGTAAAGTTTTCAAGCATATGCGGGAAGGAAATAATAATTCTAATTTTCACTTTAATTTTTCAACCTATTGGTGTATACTTTTAGCATTTTAACTTTTACCATTAGAACTATCCGAGTTTATAGCTTGAAATATCAAAAGTCGACCACATCAGGTTTCAAAGATATAGCTTAAGGATTAGAAGAAAAGAGGACGAGGCGAGTAATCAGTTACGCTTAAGAGAAAGATCTTTAAGAAAAACTATGTTTGATCTCATTCATTTCAATCTATTAAATTTTATTATTCATTATTCTAAAAACGTTGCTCTCTCAAAGAGTTTCTTGCTCCGAGCTTTCAGTTTGACATTGTAAATGTGCAGACCGCAGAGTAAGGATAAAGAAGAGGATTTAAACATTAAAGGATTAGAGATATCAAGACCAAACCCAGAGGATCTTCTAACCATTAGGTCAGTAATCCCTCATTCTTCCTTCAGTCCTATAGTGGTACACAAAATTAAGCTATTAGACATAATTAACAGATTTTACACTTTTGGTTGTTTCTCTTTTCACTAAATTTTGTCGATAACTAAATTTTTACAACCTTGTTTTTGGTAATTATATATCAAAGCACATCGAAAATTCAGTTTTCTTTTTTCTAATTAGTGTTCTTTTTTCCTATATTTTAATGTTAAACTATACCATAGGTTATCATATTATGTTTGAACAATGACTCAGTCCTGAATTCTACAGACTATTTTGTTTGTTTGTTTATCATATTATACTTTTGCATCTTCTTCACGGCAGCCGTAGTACATTTGAATTTCCGAGCCGGGTCAACCTTTCCGGTCCCAGTTTGTACTTTATCGCCCGGACATTGGGTAAATAAAGCAAGAGACTCAATAGGACTAGCCGGTGCAGCAAGGTTGATGCGGTCAGACTTTAGGTTGAATTTACTTTTACTAAAGGGTCAGGGGTGCGTGTCTTTTATTCAATATTTTTTATCAGAATTAGACAAATCCGTTAGCGTTGCATCCAGCAACCACAATTAAACCATATGAAATACATTTAATATTTATCTAGTTTTTTTTTAACAAAACTAAGTATTGTTTACATCCATCCACAACACTCAACTCCTTGTGTATTTACTATTTATATACCCATTCAGACTTAGGCCAAAAATTATGAACATAATCAGTTCTGATTTTTTCACTTTGGAGAAAAATGGATATGTAATATAGGCGTTCTGTCAGAAATACTGAACTAAAAATTCTTTGAAATTGATAAACTTGTCTATTCGAAACCAAGTGCACTCTAATCTTGAAAAGTTCATTTTCATATAGTAAACAATTCTGGCTTATTTATTATCAGCTAACTATGGATACATATTTATCCACGAAATCTTTATTATCACTTAAAAACATTTGGTAATTTCCCCATTCTTAAACTTTTTTCCTCATCTCGAAGGGAGGGGAGGGGTAAGTAATCCTCTATTTATTCTAATTATTTTTTTTTTATTTTTTTATTTTTATAGGTAACTCATAAACCTTCCCATAAGTCATATGAGACACAGGAAAAAAAGAGCCCAATTAATTTGGTTTGGATAAATACGAAAGGACCATCCAACAGAAATTCTAAGGAATTGAGTTTTTGCCACAAACTCTGATTTTCTAAACCCAATAACTTTGCAAACCAATGCTGAATGCCTTAGTTATAAATTTGGATAGAACAATTAGTTTAAGTTTGGAATATCCTAGGTCTACACTATCAGGTTGCAAATTTATAGAGATCAGAAAATTTGACTTTGTGGCAAAAACTCAGTTGATTTATATATTGATATAGAAACAAATTGAATAAGTTACAAAAGAATTCTTAAATAGTTAGATTTCGTGAGAAGATTCGAGAATCAATTGAGATGAATCTAAAACCCCTCTATTTCTATACTATTTTCTTACACTATACCTCTGAGCTGAAAGTGTAGCCAGGATTACTTTTTACTGTTTGAGTAGGATTCTAAGACTTTTTTTGTTTGTCTGTTCTTGACGGGAGAAAGATTCCATGTCTACTGTACACCTTAAAAGTACACACACCAAGTTCAGTAATAATCTGAAACCAATTCCAGAATAAATTCTGAGTTGAAGCATTTTAAGTTTTTTCTTTATACATATTATCTGATTTCTTCTCTGGCCCCAATTTGAGACTAGACATTTTAAGGTGGAACTAAATGGTATAAAAATATGTTAAAGATATATTAAAAATATGTAAAAGAGTTATTTCATCAAAAACATAAATGTTATTGTGAAAAAAAAGGAATATGTTTCAGCAGAGTTGACTGGTTCCAACCCTTTGCTATGTGATGATCATGTTCTGGGATGGTAAATGCCATTAAACCCTCCCCCCCCCCTGGGGAACCATGAATACATATAGGAAATATTTCTCCAACCTTATATTCCCCCAAGATTTAAGGTCGCGCAACCATGTTTACACCCAGCTCTTCTATATATAAATTTGGATTGTCTGTCTGTTTGTCTGTTTGTTTGTTTGTATCCAATAAACGTCAAAACGGCTGAACCGATCGGGCCCAAATTTTTTGTGGGACATCACGTGACCACAGGGAAGGTTTATGAATGATCAAAATTTCAAATATTTGTCTCCATTAAAATTCGATCTTCATTAAATTTTTGAAAATTTTGAAAATCCACGAAATTTTTTGTGAAAATCCGCGAAATTTTTTGTTTTGTTTTACGATGTATACAAAGAGAACATGTTTACAATTAATTTAGAAGATGGGCGCGAAGCGCCCTATAAGGCTAGTTTCCTTACATTTATTTTGGGGTATTTATTTTCAAGATTTTTGAGAGAAGAATGAAAACTTTGACATGACAAGGAAAGTTTATACACACTGTATTATACTTTATCACACATTTTTTTCCTATCAAGCATAGACACCCTGAAAAACATGATAGACAAAGATCTTAGAGAGAGGAGGAGTTTTCCCCCCTATATGCAATATGCATTTGAAAGCAAGGAAGCCTGGTCCCTAGAGGTATTAATAATGTAGAATTATTCTTGTTCTCTTTAACTTCTTCAATCTTCTGAGAATGAATTAACATACGAGAAAATTGTAATTCAGAGAATTTTTATGTTATATAAATTTTTACTCTGTTGTTACTGTCTTCATTAGTTGTTCTCTCGACCAACTTGAAACTTTTCAAGTTACATATTTCATCTTGAGTATGGTGACAGTTCAAAGGGTCTGCTGGGTTCTAAACTTTAAAGTTTAATTTTTAGAAATATAATCCCAAGTTAGAAGACAAGTTTGTAATATGTTGTATCTTTTAAGTTTTAAGCTCGGCCTACACTTCACACACTTTATAATGTAAAAATGAAGTTTTTGGTGTATGCGCACTTTAGATTATTCTATGATGGATAAGTTAGTGGGGGTAAAACGAGATAAATATCATTAGAGAAAATTATTTTAAGGAGTATTAAATTTCTTATAAATCACCTTTTCACTTAAAAAGATTTAAGCCTTTTTTTAAGATAAGTAAATGCCCTGTGGTGAAATATAAAAAAATATTTGGTTGAAAAGAATATAAAAGGTTAATTACCTGTCAGTTAACCCTCCTTCCTGGTAAGCTTCGAAAATCTCTAAAGTGGATCCCCCCCCTCTGAAATTCTGGATTTATTGATTTGAATGATATACTTATTATAACAGAAATCAAAGGATTAAATTAGTTAAATATTTAAGAGAATTTATAAAAATACTTTGTTTGTCTGTCTGTCTCTGTTTGTTTGTATCCAGTAAACGTCAAAACGGCTGGACCGATCGGGCCCAACATTTTTTTTGGGACCTCACATAAACCTAGGGAAGGTTTATGAATGATCAAAATTTCGAAAATTAACCTCCAACAAAATTTGATTGACATTAAATTTTTAAACTAAGCCGCCCATCTTCTATTTCAATTGTAAACATGTTCTCATTGTGACATTGAAAAACAAAGAAAATAAAATTTCGCGGATTTTCAAATTTGAATTTTTTTTACAAAAATGGAAAACTTTTAAGCACGAATTTTCTAATTTTTATCATTCACGAACCTTTCCTGTGGTCACGCGAGATCCCACAAAAAATTTGGGCCTGATCGGTTCAGCCGTTTTGACGTTTATTGGATTCAAACAAACAGACACCCATATATAGATTAACAAAATTTTATTATAAAATCCCTGAACTTTGTTTGTTTTTGTTTTACAATGTATACAAAGAGAAAATGTTCACAATTAAAATAGAAGATGGGCGAGCCTAGTTGAAATAAAAAGATGAAATTTTTATGATACATTTTTCTGTGATTTAAAAATGAAGAAAAGGAAAAACTTGGAACAATGTAACAGAAAATCAGCTGTTTGTATACATTATGCAAATTCTGAAAGTGTTCAATTTGAATATATCTCAAATTTTGGCGGACTTCGCGCCCATCTTCTAAATTAATTGTGAACATGTTCTCTTTGTGTACATCGTAAAACAAAACAAAAATAATTCGCGGATTTTCACAAAAAATTTCGTGGATTTTCAAAATTTTCAAAAATTTAATGAAGATCGAATTTTGATGGAGACAAATATTTGAAATTTTGATCACTCATAAACCTTCCCTGGGGTCCTTAGATGTCCCACAAAAAATTTGGGCCCGATCGGTTCAGCCGTTTTGACGTTTATTGGATACAAACATACAAACAGACAAACAGACACCAAGACAAGCCAAGTTTATATATAGATATAGATTTTTTTGTATAGTTTTTGTATTCTGAATGCATGTTTAGTGTTGTTTAATGTTCTCTAATAAATAAGCTATAAATGGCCTCAGGGCTTCTTTTCTAGATAGAATACTAATGCATTCCATTTTCTAGCTTATATACGTTTAGTTTATATTACAGGATTTTAACTAAGCTTTAAAACTATTTACTAAAAAAATATTATTAAATTTTTCATTCTCTGAAATTTGTGATTTTTCGTAAGTGCTTAAGTGCATAAGTGCATAAGTGCATAAGGATTTGAAATAATATCTAATTTCATCTCCTTATCAATTTTTCCTTTGAAATGTTAGATTTTTAATTCATCTTACAAATTTTAGAATTGTATTTTCTGCAGGTTTGTTTGTTTACCACTATAAAAGATGTTTACTCTGACAGAATGTTAAAGGAAAAATAGAAAGCACACCATGATGTGAACTAACAAATGATGGCTTGGTTAGTTTTTGCTTCATCTAACATGAGTTAACTTATTGCTTAGTGTAATAAAATCTAACTTTAAGAGACATTTGACAATTTTCAAAATTAGTCTAAAAAGATTCCAGTATCTTGGATGTGAATCGTGCCACCAGGAAAGGAACTAGGTTCTTGCCACAAACTCTGATTTTCTAATCCCCTTATCTTTGCAACCTGAAGATATTCTAAACTTTAAAACTATTAGAAGTGTTAAATCAAATATTTTAAGTTTTTACCTTCAGGTTGCAAAGAAGGGAAAAGAAAATTTGAGTTTTTTTTAGCAAGAACTCAGTTCCTTTCCATTTTGATTT